AGGAATGCCTAGAATTTGTTTCGTTTTTCAATTCCCAAAGAATATTCATGAGAGTAATTTACGTAAGTGACTAGAAAAATTAAATAACTACAGCTAAATGACTTTGGAAATAACTTCTCACCAATCAATTTGAACGTGTTCTGATTAACATAATTTTGTTCAAATAAGATTCTTTTAATTACGGTTTTCAATTGATTATTGATACATAACTATGGGATTTTGCAGGGAAAACATTCTGTATGAATAATTATATAATACATTCAAAAAAAGCCAGTCTCATCTGTTTCCACTGTGCAGTTTATTCAGTTTCCAATTAGAAAAAAAATACTAAGTATTTGACAATTCACATGCATAAACTCAAACAATTCAGCCCAAAAAAGTATGGATTTCTTTCAGTCTTGTATTAAGGCGTTCAGGAATTTCACACAGGCAGACAAGTATCTGGATTTTTAAAAAAACAGAACCAAAATAGAGAGACAAGCTATAACTCAGTTTTACTTTTGTTAACAAATACAACCAAAGTGAGTCCTGGTAGTACGCAGCTGCATTCTTTATCTTTTCAGATGTGTATAGCTGATAGGAATCAAAGTGATTGGGAAAGAATCTTCAGCAAAAGTTTTCTTCAACAGTGTCTTGATTTGGAGTGCTGAATAAGCCACTGTAATGTTATGTCTGCCAGAATAGATAAAACAGAATGAAAAACTCAACAATCTGTTGGCAGAGTGTAGAAGGACAACCGAACACCAGCAGGTTAATATAAATAAAACCCCCCAAACAAACAAACCCCAGAAACCACAGACTCTTTACACCTAAATAAAAATTCAGTACTTAAAACTCCAGGTAGGGGTTTGGGTTTGTTTTTTTTTTGTTGTTTAATTTATGTGCATTTTGTATTCTTCAAATATGGTGACTCACATCAAGTTCTCTAAGCCACAAATGAAGAACTGTTGGAAAAGCAAAGATTTAAGATGACCATAAAATGAACTGTAAAATCCAGACTGAAATGAAATGCAGTGTGAGAACAAAGGCAGAAATACATGACCAGAAGGAAAGAGAAGGGCAAACATCTGACAAAGCATTAAGAAGCCATTTAGGTAGGCTGTAGGAGTCCAAGGTCTCTGAAAGACATGCAACACTGGACTAAAATTTGATAGCTGAAATTGGTACCCCTCCTGACACAATCTAACACATTGGGCTGAAAACTGCAGCAGTTCACAAGCTGATTCATGAGTAGATTAGATGTTTTTGCCTCAAGGCAGTAACATCTGTCAGGGAGGTAGGAAGGATGTCAGGGGGCAGCAACAGCTCTAGCCCTCAAATTTAAATTTGCTGCCACATCTGTCCTAAATTCAAGACAGCACTCTGTGAATATCCTGTCAGACCAGCTTAGGCACTGAGACTGCAGACAAAAGCATCCCACAGCATCTGAACCAAAGCTAATATCTATATACTCATCTTCCAGAGTCTCTCAGGACACAGAAACTGGCAGGCTTATGCCTACACCTCCTGATGAGACCAGCTAGCTAGGCTGCAGTTCGCACTGAGAAACGACCATCATCTCATTCCACTGCACCCACATCAATCAAAACTGCAGAGGAGGAAGACAGCTCCCAGTGTTCTCCTTAACAGCCTACCAGTTTCATCACTTTAATAAGCTAAATATATTTTCATTACAGTTTTTCATTATAAATGATATTTTCCAGCCCTTTGAACTCCCTAGGTTCTTGCCCAAACTCTCTTCAATTTCTCAAGGTCTTCCTCCAAACGTGGCACACACTGCTCCAGTACAGTTCCAAATCACAGAATGGTTTGGGTTGGAAGGGACCTTACAGACCATCCAGTTCCAACCCCCCTGCCATGGGCAGGGACACCTTGCACTAGACCAGGTTGCTCAAAGCCTCATCCAGCCTGGCCTTGAACACTTCCAGGGATGGGGCATCCACCGCTTCTCTGGGCAACCTCACCACCCTCTTGGTGGAGAATTTCTTCCTGATATCCAATCTAACCCTCCCCACTTTCAATTTAAACCCATTATCCCTTGTCCTGTCACTACAGGCCCTTGTAAAAAGTCCCCCCCAGCTTCCTTGTAGCCCCTTCAGGTACTGGAAGGCTGCAATAAGGTCTCCCCGGAGCCTTCTCTTCTCCAGGCTGAACAAGCCCAACTCTCTCAGCCTGTCCCCATAGCACAGGTGCTCCAGCCCTCTGAGCATCTCTGTGGCCTCCTCTGGACTCGCCCCAAACGCACTTGATATACTTAGCCTGCTCCCATTGGCTATTTCCTGGGGCAAATACTCAGGACCCAGGTTAGCCTTTCTAGGCACAGTATTACACTGGAAGACACCTGACTGATACTCAAATAGTATTTGAGTCTTTTTCATCACTTCTCCCAGGACTTCCACAAGTAAGCGGCCTACACCATTCTGCATTAGTGATCATTCTTTTTGTTATTATCCCTTTTGCAAATTTTAGCTTGCCTTTTTTGCAGGCATTTCTCCTCCAGACCATCCATATAAATGAACCAGGATCAAACCCTGTTTTCTCCAGGATCTCTTCAGAAATTATGGGGGTTTTTTACCAGTTTCTAGTCACAGTAACACTTCTGAGATCCTCCACTAGAGCCTTCCCTATACGATGAGGATCAAGCACCGTATTTCTAAAGCCTCCATCACCTTCACCGCCCTTCACCTATGCAGATAAACCTGAGTATGCTGTCTTCCTCAATTTTTATATCCCAAAGTCTAATCTTCCCCAGTGTAACAGTACAAGCTGGGTATTTCCCTCACTCAAGAGAGAACTGTTGCACCCCAAGCTGCAGCACACCTGGGTCTGGCCTCCTTCAAACCAACACACCAACATGTTCACCATTTCCAAGAGAAGCCCTCAGTGCCTGACACATCCTGGCACACAGCTGAAACCTCCCCCAGCTCTCTGAAGCCCAGGTGTCATGGCATAGTCTCCTCACCACTTCCACTGCCTGGTCCTCTCTGCTTAGGATGGCAGTTTCCCCTGCTGCTGGGAGAAACTGGTTTTCTCCCACTCCCGCTCCCACCATCCCTCTTTCAGCTAAGCCTTGGCAGAGCTGCCCAGCTCTTCTAACAAGTCTGGCTTCCTTGAGAAGCAGCTATAAATATCTAGCCAGGCTGTATCCCTGCCATCCAGCACCTCTTGTCTTCGCAGCATGCAGGGGAGAAGGGTGGCACAGAGGTGGCGTAGCCACAGGCAACGGCTGCTGCCCACTCATCCTGTGCTTCACCCCTCTCTCCAGCCGTGTGGAGGGAATGGGAGAACATGACAGAGGAAAGGGATAGCAAAGCGAGGAGAGGAGAAAGGGCAAAAAGCAAAGGCTCCCCAGGATGAGAGACAACTTCACTGACTTCAGGATATGCTCTGTGCACCTCCAGCAGGACAGAACCACTAGTCCCTCAGCTGGAGGGCCAGAGGCATGCAAGGCCTGCTTACAAAGTAAAATCATGTATGGAGCAAAACACCAAAAGTCATTAAGTATCACATAGTAATTGACAGGCCTTCAGACCCAGTTACTCTTTCTTCAGAAGTTACACGGTTTTTCTGAGGGATTCAATTACTTTGGGTCTTAAATATTCTTGTCCAAGCCCCCTGTTGAACTAATTTCTTAACCTCTCATGGAACTAACTAATTCTACAAGTCACTTTTACATTGCACATAATTAGATATTAAACCAAATACGATTGCATGCAATATTTGCAACACAATCTTTCAGAGTAAATTGAGATTTTCAGTTATATATTGGAATTACATGTTCAAATATCATTAACATTTTTAACATCGGATCCAAAGAACCAGGTATACATTGATGATGCTGTCTGTAAGAAAAAGAAGCTTACCGATGTTATCCTTCTCTTTACATGAAATAGAATAGCAACAGATTTCTCTGTCTTGAATAGCTGAAAGGTTTCTACAGGAAATAATATAAAATAAGTAGTGTTATAACTCCACAAAAACTGACAACAAATTTCCATTAAATTATATGCTTTCTGCTTTTTACTCAGTGGGTTCAATTCTCTCCTCAAACAATGTATTTTTAAAATACAGTACTGCACACACACACATAAACCCCACGTTTCTTAAACTACAGAGATTAAAAGAATATAAAGCCATTTCACAAAAATTCTATTTCCTCATTAAGTCAGTGTAGTAGTGAATAAAAAAATCACAGAAATCCATGAGCTGAAAATAACATTTTCTAGTGGCAACCAAGTAACATTACCATGTGTTACTATCCATCTTTTACTTAGAATTCAGAGTTTTTCTCTAATAACTCTTACAATCAAACACCACTACTCAACAATCACACCATTAATCTTCAGGATGTTTATTATATTGTACTTAAATATATCAGATCTGATTCCTACTGAAAGGATACCTCTACATTTAGGAAGAAACTGATTATTAATTAACTTCTGTTCTTTTTCTGGAGATTTCCCTGTTCCACTCACGAGTTTATGAGTACTTTCTTATTTTTTCATTTATTTATCCTCATACAAGTGACACAGACATGCAGGAAACAGATTACATTCCTGGAGAAGATGGAGAACGGAGGCACTGAGACGGAAAGAGTCTTCAGATCATACAAGAGACTAATAACAAAAGAAGTACATAGTGACCTCCTGTCGTGGTTTAACTCC